TCCTCTAATTGTTCGCGTGTAGTTCCCGATGATGAAGATGTATATGTCGAGCAACTATTAAAATCAAAGAAAGAATTGCAAGAAACTGTGCACCGGATTGCTTCAAAACATAACTTCGAATTTAAAGTGAAGAAATCAAACAAGTCGACGTACACAATTATCTGTGTTGACGACAGTTGCTATTGGCGTTTGTGAGCGACTAAGATGGACACAAATGACTTCTTTGTAGTCCGTAAGTATGCACGTGAACGTACTTGCGAAATAGATATTCGTCAAAATGATCATAGGCAGGCCCGATCATGGTTCATTGGTCGAGAAATAATGCACAAGTTCCAGGATCCACGAACGATCTACAGACTTTCGGACATCATTAATAACATTCGATGAGAGTAGGGGTGGTCATGAGCTATCAGAAGGTTTGGAAGACTAAAGAATGTGCATTGGAGGATTTGATGGGTTCGACCGAGGAGAGTTATGCTAAATTAGCCAAGTATTTCATTGTTTAAGTGTTTATTTCTTTGTTATTTTAAATTTTAATTATTTTATTTCAATTGTTTATTTTTATTATTTAATGTCAATTGTTTATTTATATGTAATTAATTATTTAATTGAATTGTTTATTTTTCTGTTCATTTAATATTTAATATATTATCTAAATTATAATTATTTTTATTTACATTAGCCATGTATTGCTATAACATGGGAAAAATTAATAATGAGTCGGCATTTTTTATTGAGAAGGATGACGAAAATCGTTTCAAATATTTCTTTATGGCCCTTGAACAATGTGTTCGAGGATTTCGAAATGCAATGCGACCCCTAATCTTAGTCAATGGTACAACCCTTAAGGCGAGATACGGGGGCAAGTTGATTATTGCAACATGCCAAGATGCGAACATCCAAATTTACCCTCTTGCGTTCGGTATAGTCGACGGAGAAAATGATGTAGCGATGAGTTGAGTTTTCACGAAGTTGAGGAAAGTAATTGGGGATGTCGAAAATCTTGCATTCATAATCGATCGAGGGCAGTCAATAATAAACGGTATCGTCGAAGTCTTCCCTGAGGCACATCATGATTATTGTATGTACCATATATAGGGAAACCTGAAGACCAGGTATCGAGGCAATGGCGTCGTTGCGTTGTTTAGGAGAGTTGCAGAGGCTTACAGTTTTGAGGAGTTTGATAAGTTCATGGTCGAAATAGACAGTAAATCGCATGCTGCATGGGAGTATCTAACAGAGATGGGGATTGAACATTGGGCACGATCACATTTTCCAGGACGTCGATACAACACGATGACGTCGAACAATGCGGAGTCGCTTAACGCTTTATTCAAGAAAGATCGAGAGTTACCAATTCTCGCAATAATTGAGAACATTTGTGACAAGCTACAACAGTGGTTTCATGATCAGCGTAAGGAATCACAAAGTTGTGCAAGTGTGTTAACCCCGGCTCAAGAAGATAAGCTCTTCAAGACTCCAGATGTGGCAAGAAAGGTATATGTAGAACCACTGGATCAATTTCGCTTCTCCGTGAGATGTGCACGTAATTTCGGATACATTGTGGACTTGAATGATAACCGTGCACGTGTAGACGGTTTCAGTTGGAGAGTTTTCCGTGTACACATGCAGTGGCAGTAGCTATGTA